AGGGTCCGACACGTGACAATCACCACGCCCGCGCGAGGGATGAGAACACCCGGACGTCGATTAATTAACGCAATTGATTAGATTCGAATTGCAGCGATCGCGAAATGCAATTTGCAGTGGTCGAGCTGGGTATAGCCCTGACTGATTCGTTCTCTATCCCCTTCGAATCTACCCTCAACGTAACGAGCCGCGGCATATGGAATCGCGACGACCGGGATTCCGGGAAGACGGTACCGAGGGGGAGCCGCTCCCTCCGATAGCCCGGATGTTTCCCGGTGCCTCGACAACGTTCCGCGATCTCACTCGTGCGAAAGACGAACGTCCTGGATTTCACACGCTCGCAAGGTCAGCCTTATCTTTAAAGCTTAAACGGACCGATCCTCTTCGGACTGCGCCTCCTAAACGGAGGAGACGGGCGAGACACGCTCTCGCGATAAATGAAAAACCGGCATTATAATAATGATGAAAAGTGTTATAACCATGCTGCTGCTGCTGATGATGATAATAATAATGTGATGAAAAAAAGTATAAGGAGGAGAGTTTGTTTTCGCGCGTTGCCAACCTCTCCGTTTCCGCGGTGCCGCGGAGCTGATCCTCCTTAATCCTCAGCAGAATCGACACCCTGGCGGACGATACGAGGATTCATCGGATTCATGATAGATCTCACACAGAGGAGGAGAAGAGAGATCATTGGCCTTTTTTTAAGTTCTTTTTCTTTTTTTTTGTTTGGCCGATTTATTTTGGCCGACATTGCAACGATGCATCCATCGCAGCTCGTTTCATTCTGAACTGACTTTGGTCAAAATTTACAAAAAAAATAACACAATGTCAAATAACATATTGTAATTGGCATCACACTTAACTCGAACGGCATTTTTTTTCAAGATTTGGATTATGTAAAAATGTTACGCGTGCGTATATTTGTTTTATAAATATTTATTTCAGAATATAATTTTAATCGGGATTATGTAATTTTCATCTTATGGCTTTGCTGGCAACATGATAATTTCAAGATCGCAGTTTAGAGATGGGATTATGGCAAATGCTTTTGCGCTCGAAGGACATTTTTCTTTGCTTGTATTCGTCTTGAGGGGACGAAGAAAATCAAGTTAAACCTATAAATGGTGGATGTAAATTTGTTTGCGCAGGTTGACTACTCGCGGATGAGACGACTGCATTTTGCATTCCAAACGCAAAAATCTCAACATACGAGTCGAATATTGGTAAATCATTTTCGTCGCAAGTTTATATCTTCATTTTAACGACATCGCATCTTCAGACGATCAAATCACGTCGGCGAAATTATCGGAAATTCGAATTATATTAATTTTTTTATGACCAATTTGAATTACAACAACGACGACGAAGATAATTACGTGATCTTAGATCATATTACCATGACAATCATGACAAGAAAAAAAAAAGAAAAGAGAGAAAGAAAGAAAATTACATTCCTTCATTTTTCCAAAGTTCACAACATCCATGACTAATATGAATATCCTTCCTTCATCCTTCTCTCTACCCTTTCTACGCCCAATAATTTCCTATTCCGTAAAAAAAAGAATGCACTATTTCACATCGATTCACATGCATCGGTACTTGCCACGCGACACGAAAACAATCGATCAAATATCATAATCATTGTGCCACGCATTCCACGTTCTTTGTCTCATCTTCACATATTAAAAAATGAAAAAATCGCAGCTATAGTTCTCGAGTACGGCATTCGATCTTACCATGCGAAAGTATTACATACTCATCGACAATTTCATCAGCTTCGCGCTCGTCGTGTCACTAGATCGAGTGTGGATCTTCGAGTCGCCACGAAATCATTCTCTCTGTTCATCGGGTTCGTGCTCATCTCTTCACAATCACGAATTAGTTTGACGTAGGCGTGTAAACACATACGCGCGAAAATCATCGCACGAGATAGATCGTTCGGTATAGCTTTCACGATGATCATCATCCGTCTATCTTCGAGTCGTGCAACTCGCATGGGAACTTAGGTCCAGCATGTTGCATGCGTCGTTAGGAGTTTAAGTGGTTGTAGTGTACGTCATCGCAGAGCAGCCGTTATTCATTATCGTTCACGTCGTCATCGTCGTCATCCTCATCATCGACATTCGGCGATCTGCTCGTCAAGGCTCCTCGCGACGTAGTCCTTTCGTTAATCGAGGGATCATAGATTTATTTAACTTGATTGTAATCTTGATTGTAAATTATTATAAAAGGTTTTCCGAGCAAAATTATGAAAATTGTTTTTTATATACATTAAAAATTTATCGTAATATTAATTTCGAAAGTTTTTTGCTAATATTATCGATTAAGGGAGGACTAGTTCGCAAGAAGCTGCCGCAAGCTCGCTCGTCCAGCATCGCTTTTATCGTCGTCGAACGATCGTCTTAAGCTCTCCCGGCGAGATCGCGCGTCATCGATTTCCCGTCTCTCATCTGTTCGCTCGCGGTGTCGTGATCGTTTCGATCGTCGAGGATCAACGTTGATTACGCGAGGACTAGAAAAGGTGACCGCGCCGAGAGAGCGCGCCGTACTAACGCGAGATCAAACGCGCGACTCGCCTCGCGCTCGCCATCGGCAAGTATAATACGAAATTGCCCACCGTCATTGTTTCGTAATCCCTCTCTTGCGTTATCTCCTTTATTTCTTTATCACTCCGTCCGTAGAGACCTTGATGTTGCAATTAGAGAGACGCATGTCGCCCCTCTTATTACCTCTTATTACCCTTTGATACCCTGCCGGCCTCGCTTTCGAGGCGCTATATGCATGCTGCACGCGCGCGCAGAGAGTTTGCATCTGTCATCTAGCTCCGTTTGTCCCGTTCGGCGAATAAGACATACGTGGACGTCGGGATGACGATCATCGTCCACGAAGGTCCACGAACGTCGGATTACCTATCGGGAGAGCTAATTCGGCATTTCGTCTACGAGAGAGATGGTGAGGAGGATCATTTAGATTATCTACGAATCCTGTCGCGTTGTCGGAAAGATTTCTTTGGTAAAAAAAAAGTATTTTTTTATCCTCAGCTATCTCTAATGTAATATTTGTTCAGTTTACGTCTAATATGTTTTTAGGGTCTATCTTTGGAATGTGTCGACACCTAGGACTTATAAAAATATGATAAAAAAAATGTGATGCACGTCTTGATTGATTATTACAGAAAAATGCAAGAAAGTTGAACACTAATCTAAGATTAAAAATTTATTCTTGCGAAAATAATCATCATTGATATCCGCATTATTATTTACGAGCTAGATTTACGTTTAAACATAAGATAGGCCCTGTGTCGGTCGGCGATCTTCTCTCATTTTGTGTATGCGTCGATAATTGACATTAATTGACAGCGAAATTGACGTGGATTAATATTGCGTGCCTCTTTGATGTAAGTTTATTATTATCGAATATAGATGATAAAAGAGGCAAAATAACGAATTTAGTCGCATGATTCGTAGATAAGATAAATGTTACCTCTTGCCCGATAGAGCTTAAGGTACAATTAACACTTAAGATAGAGCTAAGTTAGCGATAAGTCAGCAATGGCAGTCCCCAATTCCGCAGAACTCTTCTGACAATCCGATGAATTGATAGTAAATGTCATAATTCTAGACCATATTCCCTTGTTGCCAAAGTTTCTCAAATAATTAAATACAGATTGAACACAGAACTAAATTAAGATAAAACATGGATAAGTTTACCAGTTTACTATTAATTAAATCGCGAGTTAATTTATAATATGGGCATGTCCTATAACCTCCGATCTTAATTTTAACAACAGACTCGACTAATTCGAGGCTGATTTTTCTTTAATTGGAATGAGTCATATAATATGGATTTTAAAAGTGACAACTTTTTCTCGAAATAAATTTACAAAATTTATATAATCCAAATCCGAATGCTCATTCAAACTCATGAGTTTATCTCAATGCTATAATTGGAGATTGAATTACCGAGTTATCTGATAAATATTAAAGGACTGTAATAAAAGTATGAACTTGTACTCCGAAATTTTTCCCGGTTGAAAAATTGACTCCGAATTCGCCGAGGGGTCTGTCATTATAATTAAGGTCGTAGATTCCGGGACATCTAAGATATAAGGACGCAAAACGGGCGGACGTTTCGTTCGGAAGAGGGACAGCGGAGTTGGACGGCCTTCGTGGTGAGCGAAGCATTATTAAACGTGGTGCCCCAATATTCTAGCTTTCTGAGGAGGTAAGGAAATTCTTCACCCGCCCAAGAAGCTCTTCCGAGCCACCATCATCATCACCACCACCTTTCCTTCTCCGTTTCCATCTACATGATTACCGTATTACGTAACGGAGTGTTTCGATGTATACCGTAGCCACTGTACTTGTTACTCTCTGTATATCTTTCTGTCTCTGTCTCTTTCTCGAACTCTATCTTCCTACTGGCGTGAATCGTTGACCGACTGTCTCGCAATCATCATTTCACGCATCTCACGTAAAAAGAAAAAGAAAATTATACACACACCGGTCTCTAGACAATGATTTCTTAGAGGAAGACCGTCACTCTCCCAGACTCATCAGTCAAATTCATCCATCCCATATCGGTCGGAAGAGCGAAAGGAACGAAAGACTTTCGTTCACCTCCGTCCCATCATTCGACAGTATCGTCGTGTGCGTGTGCGTGCGTGTGTGCGACCTAGTGACACCGTAGATAATCATCGTAGACATCATCGTTGTCGTCGGAGCGACGGAGTGCGTGCTCTCCGTCGCTTCGTCGATGATTTTGAGGATCGACGCGGGGCGATATTGCCGCCGTCGTGAATGCCATGATAGCCGCTGTCGATTAAATCGATAGCCGACGGCGGACGGGAGCGAGTTTGCGTTTTGAATTTCCTCTCTCAAATACGGACGCAGATTTCTCAAACATCTTCGCGTCTGAGAGAGGAAATACGATTCGCCCGTTTCTCCTTTGGTGTCTTGACTAGATGAGACGCATGACAGAGGTCCTCTTTTCTTGCTATGTGTGAATCAAATGATTTTTATAGTTAATTGAAATACTGTCTTACGTTTAAAATCACCCTCACGCAAGATAAAGGAATTATTGTATTTAGGGGACTAATATAAGAGTAATCTATTTACTACAGTAATATTATTTATTGCCAAAATGAAAGTCTGAGGAAACATTTTTAGAAAGCAATGTTCATTTACTTACATTAAAATTCAAACAAAAAAAAATTAAAATAAGATAATTTAATCTCCTCACATGCTAATTTTTCTCTAATTAAGCCAACATTTTCTTTGGCTCGAAGTCAAAACTTTAAAGCTATGCAATTCCCAGAGAGGACCTCGTGAGATCGCGTTCTCGCTCGCGTTACGTAGTGACTTTTACATACGTAGTGATTAGTCAGTATAGTAGCTGTGTTGCGTTTATTACGACTCTGCTTTGAGATCGTCGCGAGATCTCGCGCGTTCCGGCGATATGTCGCGACGAGCCTCTTCACGCGGCCTGCCAGCAACACCAGAGTAGACGAGCGTAGGTACGTACACGAGACTTAAAAGAGACATATCGACGTGAACAGGTCCTTAAATACCTCTACCCTTCCCCCGTGCGTGCGCGTGAGATTACGCCTCTCTGTGTCATATGTCTCCACCACACTTTGCTGTGTGTGTACACGTGTGTGCATATATATTTACTTATATACGAATGTGCATAATCCATACGTATAAATAAATACATATATATGTGCATTTTTTACACCTCCAAAAAAAAACACTGTTCGTAATTTTGTTACCGCTGGCCTCTCAATTACGCTGCATGCTTCGTTCAAATCCTATCCGAGTACGACGACGAAGTGTCTTTTTCTTCCTCAATTTTTTAATATTTATAAATTTTCTTAATAATTGTTACGCTAAGAAAATTTATGTATGATTGGGGCAGTCAGTTCGGTCGGTGGAGTCGGTAAATCTCGACGGTTTAACTAACTCCGCCCAAGATCTCACCCCTCTTTAGATTTATAATTCCGGCTGTTGTAGATAGAAGGGGAAGTTAGTTAACCGCGATTATAACACGACAATTAACGATGCTGTAAAGTTTAAAAATTCTCTAATAAATTCCTAAATAAATTAGCTCAAAATTCAAGAGATCAGTTCTTAAATTTGGGTTCGACCGAAACTGGCTCGCACACGTAGTTTCTTGTTTGACTTTGTAATTAGGTCATGATCGTAATAGCTTGAGAATATCAGCCTCCTTCATTAATCCGCTCAGGAATTATGCGCCAAGAAAGGCGCATAAATGAACTAAAACTAGTGGTGGAATCGGAGCAGGACGACAATGCGACTTGATTTTTAATCCTCGACGTGGAAACTTTTTGCAGGGTCAATCGACTCGCGCCACGTCGACGTAATTTCAATTAAAGAAATCTCGATCTTTTTTAACAGCGGCTTGTGTCAAAGTCCAACGGCAATTAAGTAACTCCGTGGTTATATCCCGAAAGGCTGTTCGCTCGGAAACCAATTTCGCGCGCAATTTGGATCAGAAATAATTAAAGATATGCCAGCACGATGCAGGCGCGCAAAGTGTGTTATACTAGAACGTAATATAAGATCAAAAAAGATCTTTCCTAAGGCTATCGTGGTACCGCAAATATTGTGGAATACTATGTTTTATTAATTCAAAAATCAATTAGATTTGTAATTTTTTTCCAGTTAACTCTCGAAGATAAAGGACTTAATAAATAGGAAATACTTAATTCTTGGCCATTAACAAAGCATAAACTACAATCGCTTCGACAGTTTCCGATGCTTTTGCCTTGAAAGTTATCGCTTTTGCTACCAATTAAATTAGAATCCAAATAAGCCCGCAACTAACGGTTTCACGTAAAAAAAATATATATATATTTCTACGCGCATCTTTGCCGGGTCTTTATCACACCGTTATCATCGTCGTCGTACTCGGTCATGGCGAAGAGCTGACAGGCGGTTTCAATGCCTCCGTCGCTCGTTGCCATCGTCGTTACGTCGTCTGTTGTTGTCGTCGTCATCGTCGCCGACACGGACGGAGCGCAGGGACTGATCCTCGCCTGGACGACGAATCTTTTCGCAGCTGGAGGAGCTCCGGATGGAGGTACAGCGACGGGAACAGGAGCTGATGGCGATGTCTACGAAGATGAAGGCACTTGACGAGCAACATCAAGATTACAATAGGCACATCGCCGTGCTCAAGGAGTCTCTCGCCGCCAAGGAGGAACATTATAATATGCTGCAGGTTGATGTGAGTGTAACTTTGATCTCTTTCCGATTTATTTAAAATATGTAGAGGCATAAAGTTACGTATTATTTTTCATATAGTTAAATTTTATGGTTTGTTGCAAAATTGTAAAAGGAATTTGAAGATATTTAACAAATAATGATAGTCTTATTAAGAAAATAATTTTATTTTAACTTATAGAAAACAGTAAGTTTAATTATGCTGTTGTAGTTAATCATTTATCATTGTTTTTAAAGGCACAAAATTTCTCAATACTACAAAAGTTTTGAAATGTATGAGAATTTATAAGGACAGGAATTTGCTATACGTTTTCGGTAAACAAGTTTACCAGCGGTTTTGTTATTCACACTGATGCGAAACTAGAACACAACCGAGACTTGGAAATCGATACCGAAATTTCCGACCGCATCTCTCAAATTCGGGTATTTGTCGAATACGTTCTCTATAGCGTGTGGTTGCAACAAAATTCCGTAACTTATATCCTAATGCTGTTGTCCGAAAACTTGCATGACAGATCATTATCTTAAATGTAGAAATTGTTGGTTCAATTTTTCCAGCCTTTACATGTTTTTTAACTTAACCCCATTAAATAAACGCGGAGATCTAAGAAATTTCTTCGAAAGTCTAACATCGAGTAAAACTGACAAAGCTGCGAAATCGAATTTGAACGAGGTGATCTGAAATGTTGATCCAACTCACGCAAGCCTCATGAATTCTAAAACGATCATTGACGCGAGAAAAATCCTTGATGCAAACTTTGCTCCAATCTGAACTTATTCCTATTTTCAATCCGTAAAGTAAATTCTTGATTTTCGATGTTCCAGCATCTTACAAGATATAGTCTTCTGGTTGTAAGATGTTCAAAACTACGAAGAGAGAGAACGAATTTTTTATAAAAATTTCGGAATTTTATCTCACAGTTTTAACAGTAATTGGTTAGAAATTAATAAAAATTAAGAAATACTTAATAACGAAAAGTAGAAAATCTGCTTTTTGTTCAGAATTGCTTAATTTTTTTACATCGTAATGTTGCATCACTATAACACCGTGGTAAAAAACACCTTCTCGAAATTAACTTTTCAAAACGACCTCCACAAAGAAAGAGAGAAGAGGGTACAACTATAGTTCCTTAAATCTTTGAAAGAGATCTTTGAGAAGGGATTTCCAAATGAGTTAGGTAATCGACGACGCGTGACTGCGATCACAGCCAGTTGATAAATCGGTCCGACGACCCGGGATTCAGGTTAAAGCTATAGCAAATCGCGTGTTTCCGGAAAAAAATTACCGACGAAAAGAGGAAAGCCATCAAGCCATAGCGGAAAACTGGGTCGAGGTTCTTTTCTCTCTTCTCTGCTCTCATTCCTTTCTTCCTCACTAATGTCGCATCGCGTCCTGTCACGTGTACGTGCGTAGTACGTATTGCGCGCTAAATATTCTGAATTTGGACTCGCCTGGAGGGCTTCTCTCGTCGGCCGGTCCTCGGCGACATCCTCTCTTTACCGTCGCTCCGTTCCGACATGTTTAGGTCGAGGAGATGCGGCAGCGGCTCGAGGAGAAGAATCGGATGATCGAGAAGAAGACGCAGGTGGCGATGCAGGCGCAACAGGAGCGCAATCGCATGAACACCGAGCTGACCGAGATCAAGGATCACATGGACATCAAGGATCGCAAGATCAATGTTCTGCAGCGCAAAGTGAGTTCTTTTTCTTATTTATTCCACTTTCAGTTTCCTCGAGTTGCAGTCGTCGAAGGGCTTTATTCACTTTCGTTCCATTTCGTTCATTTATTTTCAACTACTTTCGTCTACTTTCCACATTTTAGCCATTTTTGTTCGCGGACTCGTTGCCGTAACATTTGCATTCGTCAAGAGCCGTACTCTTCGTACGAGGAATTACCTTATTGTGATTCATAACTCGAACGAGCGAGTATTATACGAGAAGATTGCCGGGTTTGAAGCAGATAACTTCCGCGAAATGAATTTTCTTATCGCGCGCGCCGCGGCGTTTAGTCTCCTCCGTCTGAGGAGAGATGCAAATGCAAAAGCGGACGAGTCCGGCAAAATGCTTTCTCTTATCGCGCAAAGTCAGTTAGCGTTTAAGAAAATATTTGCGCCAGTACGGAGTATAGATTGTTTCGACGAAATTAATTGTCATTTTAAGGAAAAGTGTTGTAGGACGAGTCGCGAAGAGAAGCTTTTTGGTAGTATATATCTTTCTTTCCCTTATCTTCTCTGAAACCATAAAAACCTTATTATGCTTGCAACGTGCTCTTGCATAATAGACATCATCATTGCCTGATTTCCGCATGC